ATGTGACCAATAAGCGCGTGAGTCTGGACTCTGTAGGCGTGTATCATTTTCAGTTGTATAGAAATATGGCTTTCCTTATGAAATCTCCTAACAGCTANAGGCGGAGCAAACAAGCAAATGGCGTGTGATACAGTTCCTTGCGATCACCTGATTTGTAATACTGAAAATAATACACGACTAGAGCTTCTGGATCATCGCTTCCCACGCGCTCATTGGATCACATATATAAATTAATCATTGAACAACTATTGCGATTTTTACAAAATGATAAATGACATCTTTACGAATTGACNCAATCAATCTTCACACTTCAGTTGTATCAAAAGTTTTTTGACACTCTGTATAATTTGTGTTTAAAACCAAGCATGTTTCCATCTTATATCTTCTTCAAAAATAGACAGAGTAAATAAAAAAAACTAACAACATATTATCATAACTTNAAAGTTACAACAATTCACATGCATGAATATCTACATCTTTTCTACAAAAATAGCAAATTGATAGTAGTGTACATAAAAAAAATAACTCACAAAAATTAAAATCATTAAACTTAAAAATAAATGAAAACACCAAGTGAGAGAATATAACAAGAAAAAACAAGAAACACACGCTTATTCAAGAAAATACAATTTATATGANATTTATGAAAAAACTAAAACTCCAAATCATTGACATTAGCATAACATATTCCAAATAACATTTTCTAAATTGTACATGATAATATGTTTTCTGTTCCTCACTGAAGAAGATCCATATAAGATATGTTAACATTTTTTTTATATATTGATTTTATACAAAACCAATATATAAATGAAACCACATTTTGTATATTGACCTTATATTTGCTTTTGTTGTAATACTAAGGGCCTGAGCACAATAGAGAAAATATTAGGAATAGGAATTAAAAACAGAGGTTAAATGTAATGTACAATGCGAAAAAACAAATTATAACATTTAAATGTATATAAATATAAGCAGTATAAGAATATAAGAAGTATATCATGTAACCATGACACACTTCTTGTATTTATATGTTATATTTAATTTTTACTCAGTGTATAGTACATTTACCTTCTATTTCTAATTCTTATTCCTAATANT